GGAAAGAGCCTTCTTGTCTCTCCAGAACAATTAGGAAAGCAAAGGTGTGATTCACTGACACAAAGGAGATCATCTATCCCTTCCTTCCAAAGAGCAGGTATGCAACTGAGTATTAAAAAGGACCTATACTTTCTTGTATTCAAACAAGGACTCTGGCTGCCAGCCAGGACACAAGTCATTTCATGACGTGTGCTGTTGGATTTTAAGCTTCTAGTACTTAACCATAAAGAACATATGGTAATCTATTATTAAAACTTTTTGCACATCAATTTATTCATAAAAAGAACTACACTGTGATAAAATTCTTATGAGTTTCAGTGCCACCTATATTAAAATTAAAACAGAGTGGATACCAAGTGCTTCCTACCCTGACCTTTATACTGAGCAGCATAAAAATAAAAAAAAAACCACACAGCAACCTTAAAAAAATCTTTCTAGAATTTTTTTAAGTGGTATTATTCAAATTGTTTATAGCTCCTATTTAGGAAAAAGGCATCCCTTAACATATTGCAGCAATGAGTTCTCTGAAGAAAACACACACATATAGAAGTGTTCTTACTTCAATCAGAAAATCATTACCTCCTCTCACTAAATTGATGCATCCGATATAAAAACACATTCTAAATTTATCATGAATATTAACAATCTAAAATTTAAAATGGACCAAGTAAATTGTTTAGAAGTTGTTTTAGAAACTCAGGCTGCAAATTATTCAACATAATCAACTGAATTTAAGCTGCCTCTGTACAATATCCTAAGTAAGTGGATTCCTGGGATTCAATTTTGAAGATCAGTGTCGGGCAGCATAGAAAGAAACTTGGTGCAAACTTCTGCAGGGCTGTTTGGAAATCCCAGCCTTTGAAATTCTTCACAATTCAGTCTTATTTAAAATATAGAGAACTTAAGGATGCTGCAAAACAGCACAAGACCAATGATAGTTCTGCTTTTTAATTGGTTTTGTTTCTTTACAAAACCTCCTGGCAGTGGTTAATAAGAGACAGGGCTATACTCTTTCCAAAAGGAGGAAGGATGACCTCTAGTACAGCCTTGTATGTCTAATCAGCACAGCCACTGTATGCTTTATCATACTTTTACATCTTTGTTACTATCCTTTTTTTTTTCTGACACTGCCCAGGCAGGCATCTTTCAGGTACACTGCACTCATGCTGAAAGCTCTAGCCCATAAACCCCTAAATGCCTCTTAGTATTGCCAGTTAGCTGCTCATTTCTGGCTCCTTCTGGTAAAACATATTTAGTAAATTTTCATTTTTCAGACAACTAAAAATCATTTAAAGATCTTTTGTACTAAACAGCTTTTTCCTACCTTCCTTCAAATTTTATTCAAGCCTTTATTTGTTAGAACTAACTTATCTGAATTCTCTGTTCCCTGTTCCAGCCCAGGATGTCAGGTCCAGATCTTTATATTCACATTACAATTCTCAAACGTATAGTAATTTCAGCTACAACTGGTAAAGATATAAAGTGGTTCTTGAGAAACTGAGGGTATAGTGTAGATCTTAAAGTCTGCTTGAGCCTCACAGATCCTGCATAGTCAATTACTTATTTGGTGGTTCCCTGTTGGTTTTGACCTAAGCTCTGCTCTCTCTTCTCAGTCTTATCTGCACTTTGCTTTCTTTGATCACAGCCAAACACAAATATATCCTCACTTACGGTGTTACAGTTCACTCTGTTGTAGCTTCCTTCAAATGCTCAGACGGAGTAGCAGTCATTTCTGACTTAGAATTTTGATGTATCTTTCATGCACACAAATACTTATAAATACAAATTCCCAGACCACTTCTATACCTGCAACTATAGCATGACACTTAAGAATCAAGAAAAATTTCCCTCCAAATACCACAAGCAGCAAAGAGTGTTTATTTTGAAGCAGAAAAGCATGAGACTTGGAAAAGCAATATATCACCAAACTAGATCGTGGTTACTTGCTTCCATTTGTCTAATTTCCTAGTCTAAAAAGAACAAGTGTGAAACTGGGACTGTCTTTGCAAGATCTTGAATTCACTACTTAAATCACTTATTGATTAACATCTGGAATCACAATCAGATTGCACACTGCAAAGTGAGACAGAAGGTATTAATCATGACAAAATGTTCCTAAACCAACAGAGTACAACCGCCCACTCAAACCTCCTATAATGACACTTGTCCAGAATTTAGTTGCCACTCGCCATACTAACATACTCCCTGCAACAACCATGTGGCTGATTCAATGTTTCAATTCAACCTCAAATAGACAACCTACCAACAGCCTTGAATAAACCCAATTTAACCAAGAAGCTAATTTATCTCACAGAAACTCTTCTTTTCCAAGTCACACCTACAGTTCAACTTTTGTGAATAAAGTATTCAATTTATTCTCTTCAGGCTTTCCCTAAATGTTACAGGAAAGTCCACATGATCCCATCCATTAAATGCCATTTCTAAATCACCCTATGTAAATAAGCATCTTAGGACTTCTTCATTTCTTTCCTTGGTCATTTTCGCATAAATTCTTCACAAAGTAGCCTAATGGACATGAACTAATATGTGGACTCTACGTAGGCTTGGAGAGAAACAAAATCACTTTGCTAGGTACAACAAATTTTCCTTCTGAAAGTGAGTAAAAGATTGGACAGTCACCCTTCATGGAACATGTTCATATCAACTGACAAAAACATTATGGCAAAACCAGTATTTCTTTTCATACCATAAAACAGAACATTACTGAACAGCTTTACATTCATCATGTTTTAAACATTTCCACATTTACATAAAGAAAAAAAATGCTTTAACAGCAATGCTCATGCAGGAGGAAAGAGGAAAACCCCCATTACCTTCAACTTTACATGCACGCAAATTGCTGGCAGTGAGAACATTAGTGGTGTGACAGAGAACTCTGCTAGGAAAAGCAATTGCATGATACAAAGAGGCAGTACCTTCTGCAGGACTAATACAGCACTGAAGTGATGCATTTGATAAAACAGATTGTCAGGTTTAGCCAAAATTAACAATTTCCTTCCTTTAAATGTCATTAAGAACCTGAGACACCTTTCACAATCACAAATTACAAAGCTATCTATCTTTTGCTACAAAGATAGAGTATGCATGGAGATTATAGTAGTCAGGTATGGACAGAATCATTCACAAAGCATCTTCTCAGCTCTCTGAAAAAGATGTTCTGTGCTTAATCACTGCCAGACATGCTGGTTTATGTATCTTCTTACTTTTCTCTCCTCCACCAAATTGGTCTCCTGTACTACCTCATAAAAAAAATCAATGAAAAGGTAAAGCAATCAATGAAAAAAGAATGATATAAATCACTATTCGAGGCTAAGCACACAGCTATATTCTTCATTCTCTCATATTCAACTTGCTTTCATAATGTCAT